TGTGTGTATGAGGTACTGATTTGAATTGTGTATTTTAGAATTTCAGTTTGGGAAAGCAAAAGTCATGTCTTTATATTTTTATTGAAGTCAATTAAATTTGTAAAGTGGTGAAGAAGAGAGTCCAGGCAGGATGGAGTGGATGGAGAAAAGTTTCAGGAGTGATTTGTGACAAAAGGGTGTCGGCAAAGATCAAAGGAAACGTTTAAAAGACAGTGGTGAGACCAGCTATGTTGTATGGTCTGGAGACATTGACAAAAAGACAGGAGACAGAACTGGAAGTGGTGGAAATGAAGATGTTGAAGTTCTCCTTAGGAGTGTCAAGGATGGATGTGATTAGGAATGAGATCATCAGAGGTACAGCACAGGTCGAACAACTAGGAGATAAAGTTAGAGAGACCAGACTGTGATGGTTCGGACATGTCCAGAGGAGGGACAGTGGGTATATTCGTTGAAGGATGTTAGAAATGCAGCTGCCAGGAAGAGACAAAGAGGAGATATATGGATGCAGTTAGAGAGGACATGGAGGTAGATGGAGTGAGGACAGAGTGAGATGGAGGAGGATGACTCGCTGCGGCGACCCCTGAAGAGAGAAAAGCCGAAAGAAGAAGATTGAAATCAGTTCAATGTCTGAAAAGAGTATCTCAGCTTTTCTTCTGGCATTCATTGCATATACTTACAGGGAATGCCAACACAAATATATATGTTATTTATTGAGTTTAAAAAGGCTTGGAAGTGATCTTCGCCTTCGGTTTGTTCTGTGTTTCTCATGTTGCCTTGAGTAGCCTGAGCTATGTTTCGAGCTAAAGGTAAAACAAGAGGAGCTCTGTTTTGGCTGACATGGGAGCTGACTAGCAGCTCCTTGTTTCTCTGGAGACAAGGGACCCTAAAATGACGCTGCAGGCGAGCTGAATCGGCTGCGTGTTGTTCTACAACTCTGCTGTAGATTGTGTGGATGGATGTACACATGAGAAAATCACATCTGAAAAAAAAAAAAAAGCTGCTCTTTGTTATTTTTCATTAGGCTAGCAGCAGAATGTACATTAGGATGGGACATTTTAGTGACCAAGTACAGTCTGTATGGGAGTTGAAAGACTTTGAGCTTGGTGATGTGACGTTATGAGGCCATGTGCAGCAGAAAGCCAACAGGCCTTAAAAGCCTTAGCCTTCTGCCCCAGAAACCTTGGTTTCTTCCAAGTCCCATCTGCTGGCTGTGAATGAGTGAACTGATTATACTAACTGGATGCAGGCAAAGGATTTCCAGATTACCGGTAGGATACATACCCGTTGTGGTACACTGACTGATGATTTTATGTTAATTGTATTTCTTATTATTAAATTTTGTACAAAAGTGGGTTTATGTTATGTAAAAGTTGACTTATCTGTGAATGCAGTTTTAGTACAAAGCAGAATGTGATGCGAGTGGGACGTCACTAATCAATTGTGTCTTTTGTTTCTCTCTTATACAGAGTTCAGCCACCAGTGAGTCATCAAACCAGTCCATGTGCAGCATAGTGTCACTGAGTGACAAGGAATCAGAGGTAGGTAGAGGAAAATATACTAAAATAAAACGAAAAGTGATCATTTGTGCTCTTATTCCCACATGCTGTGCGTACGTGTGGATTTTCAAACTTTTATTGTATAAGACGTTGAGTATAAAGCTCAACTTCAACAGTTGATGGTAAAATGTAGCATCATTTTGTTTTTCTTTTGGTTCTTCATATAAAAAATTCTGTTAAAGCTTTTAAAGAATGTGAATTAAATTGAAGCTGTTTTTCTTGCTCATGCCAGACGCCAGAGAAGAAAGCCAACAAGAGAAGCAGGAAGAGAAAAGGAGACGTCTGTGACGGCAACAGCCATGGTGTGTCCAATCTGTTTACCAACAGTTTGAAAAGCTCTCTGTACTTAGAACGTATACATATTTTTATTTATTTATTGTTGTCAAGTTTGTACTGTTGACTGTAACTGTTCAGTTTCAAGTTCATAATTGGCTTGTTTTGGTATTGATTTTATTTTCTCAATCTTTATTCCATTTCTTTATAGGAAAGGGGAGGGGCCACAACACAGGTGATTCTTTTGAGGTGAGTCCAAGCCAAATTAACCTAAAATTAATGGTCCTGTTTAGTGTTTATTTCTTGCTACATTTCTGTTTGCATCCTAGTGTTACTGTCTCACCTTTTAAGTTTGTTCATTCAGCCTTTTTTGACTGACCACTCTGCTCTTTCTCTTGGTTTTGTACGTTCATTTAAAATGGCCCATCAGCAGTGTGCCGGCAGCAGCAGCTCTGGTCCTGCTGGAAGCATCCATGTGCTGCTGCGCTCTTCTTCCCAGCACTCACTTTCTTATCCTCCAGTGAGCACCAATATCCACCTTCTCTGCTCCTTCCTAGCTGCTCTGCTGTTTGTTTACAAGCTGTTGTGTGTCAAAAAAAAAAAAAAATCAGAGCTAAAGCACATTTTTCAAATTAATAGCTGTTAGTATTTTAGGTTAACTTGATTGTTTGTTGTTTTGGCTCTCTTACAGCTACTTTCTGATAGTTTTTTTGCTCTATTTTATGAAATTGGTAGATTTTAACAACAATTTTTCTACTTTGTGTCAGTTTCAGCTCAGCAGTCCTTCGTCGACAGGCTCAACCCACACAGACTCCACGTCTTTCAGCTCATTTGGGACAACACATACACCAACTTTATCACACAAAGCAACCCAGGTAACTCATCTGAATAACCGCTTAATACAAACTTTCATATATTTCCTTTATTGTAGTTAGTAACACTGTGAAAGTTCATGTTTATTTGCCTACACTGTGTCTTTATTATCTCAGTGCGTTTATTTATTTTTATTTTTTTATCGTTTGAAGTTGATTATTATGCAGTTGGCTGAGATGTGCATGTTTAAATGACCATAAATCCAGCTGTCTTTACACTTATTCTTATCCTTTGCCATCTTTCAGTCAGAACTGACTTTGCTGAAACTGAAAGCAATAGAGAAGGTCAAGGACTCAAATCTGGAAAAGACAGAAGGGAGGATAGATGCCTTGCTGAGGGTAAGCTGCAACTTTTTTGCTTGCATGTTGCAACAACAACCCCAGCTAATATTTAGTTACAGGCTAATTGCAACTCATTGTGAGTGAAGTGTTTGCTGATTTGAAAATGTCGTTGTGGCCTACTTCGTTCTGACGCTGCAAATTTTCGCAGGCTAATTGTGATTTGAGGCGGCAGGTGGATGAGCAGCAGAAGATGCTCGAGCTCTACAGGGAGCGGCTAAACAAGTGTGTGAAGATGAGCAAGAAGCTGCTGGTTGACAAGGTGACCAGTTACTGGACTCACGACGTCCGAGTTGAAAAGCAAAACATTTTTTGCTTTTGTTGTTTATATGTGTGAACACTTGATTAGTGTCATGATGGATGCAGTTAAAAAACAACAACATATTGAACTCTTTAAATCATCTGATGTAATTCAGATTTTCTGTGTGAAATAACTGGGGTTTTTTTTTGCAGTCAAAGCAGGAAAAGATGTCCTGCAGGGACAAAAGCATGCAGGATCGGCTACGTTTAGGCCACTTCACCACGGTCCGTCATGGAGCCTCCTTCACAGAGCAGTGGACAAATGGATACGCCTTCCAGAACCTCATCAGGTCGACATGTAGAAAGCAATAAACATTTGTTGACATTCAGGCACAAAAAAAAAAAGTTAATATCAGATAACTTGTATGTGTTGTAGGCAGCAAGAACAAATCAACTCGCAGCGGGAGGACATTGAAAGGCAGAGGAAGCTGCTGGGGAAGAGGAAACCTCCAACAACACAGGCACCCCCACCCAACATGGAACAGAGCAAACGGAGGAGCAGAAGCAATGGCCAGGAGAATGAAACGTAAGAGACAAACTGGGCAAAGTCATCACGTGGACTGTGTCAATAAGGTCTAACACGTGTAGCTCATTACGTTTGTGTTGCTTTTATGTCTTTTAGTATATTTGTGTTGGTATCTTGTTAAATATTATTCAAAATGGTCAATCACGTTTTTTAATCAAGGTTTTGCTTGATTTACTTAATACTTACTTTTAATTTACCGTACTTACCATATACCATACTTAATTTAAAAGGACACTTGTGTATTTTTTATTCTTCTTACAACTTCAAACTGGGAGTAGATTAAATTCAGAGAATTTACGAGCACATTCAGCCCGAGCAATAGTTGCTCAAAACATGCTGAAGAGACAAAAATGTGTTTTAACTGAACAGTTAGGATCTGGTGTTTTTATTTATTTGAGAGATTTTCTGTTCAGGAGATTTATCGAACAGTGTGGTGCGGCACTGCAGGAACTTATTAGACCCCACCTCTTACATTATAATGATAAAAATAGACCTGCCACAATGAATTACTGGTAACCTTGAACTACTCAGATGAGCCATGTAGCTGTGTTGCTAGCTACTATTAGCTAGCAAGCTGATTCTCCTTGAGCATGGAAATGCATCTTTCCTAAGTGTAAATGCTTAAAGTTAAACTTAAATCTTGAGTACAGATGATAAAACTTCATATCAGCTCAGAGAATGTGATTAATTATTAAAATCCTCGACACTCCTCCACGCTTCCATCACCACCAGACTGGTCTATTACAACTCTTTATATGTTGGTTTGGAAGAATCGTCTCTCCATCGCCCGCTGCTGCACGTCTTTTAACAGGAACAAGAAGGCAGCACCACATCACTCCTGTTTTAGCCGATTGACACTGGTTACCTGTTCCTTTCCATATACAATTACATTTTAAGATTTACCGGTACTCCCTTTTAAAGTTTGAAATGGATCTTTTGCATTTTTATTATCCAAACTGAACGCTGGGATCTTCCAGTCGGATGCTTTTAGCGCAGCCGAGGGCAAAATTAAAACGCGGAGGGGATCGGGCTTTTGCTGTGGCTGCCCCCAGACTCTGGAACAATATTGATATTTGTTCTGCAGAGTCCGTACAGTCCTTTAAATCCCACCTAAAAACTCAAACTTTTTTTTTTGCTCTGGCTTTTAATACATTTTGGTTTGAGTTCCATCTCTACCTCTGAGCTTGTTTTTTTTTATTGTTTAATTTGTTCTTAGCCTGTTTTATTATACCTGTGTTTTTAAAGTTTGATCTTTCATTTATTTTATGGCTGATTTCTTGTTTGTGAAGCACTTTGCTCAACATTGTTGTTTTTAAATGTGCTGTATAAATAAAGTTGACATTGACAAAGTTGAAAATCTTGTGTATATAATAGGACTTAGAGCATGACAAACTTCAAAGGATGTAAAAAAAAAAAAAAGTTAATTTACGTCACTTGAAGTGAATCTGCACTTCAGAAGCTGACCTCTTTCTACGCTGTCACATGCAGGTTGTCGTTGTCAGAATACCGGCAGCAAGAGGAGATTTTCAAACTTCAAATTGGTCGCTTAAAAAAGGTACCAGATCAATAGTTGCACTGGTTTGATGCGGTTTTACTTGTAAGTTTTTTCTGAGAATGAGATGGGTGATAAATTGTGATTGTGAAACAGGAAGAAGCAGAAATCCAGACAGAGCTGGAACATTTGGAGCGGGTTAGAAGCCTGCACATCCGGGAGCTCAAGAGGATTCATAATGAGGACACCTCCAAGTATGGATCATCTTAAGTTCTGTTTTTTTTTTTTAAATAATGCAGCCGTTTTTATTTTATTTTTAATGTCAGTCAGTTTAACAAAATTTTGTTCTGCAGATTTAACGATCATCCTACGCTGAATGACCGATACCTGCTTTTACATTTACTTGGAAGAGGTGGCTTTAGTGAAGTTTTCAAAGTAAGCATGTGCCATTTATAGTTTCAATTTCTTTAAAGATACCTAATTTTATTCCTTAGTTAAATTATGAAAAGAGAATTTTAGGTTTCAGCTTGACGATCTCATGAGACTTGAAACATTTCTGCATGCTGTAAACTGCTGTTGCACATTTAGTGATCCATCCAAGAGCTTAGGGGCCAGACATCCAACAGTTATTGTCATAAATTAAGCTTGTTTCACAGTTTAAAATCTAGTTTTATTTGAAAAGGAACCCATTGGTGGGCGGAAATGTGCTCACCAGGCTGCCAGTTGAATAGCCCTGCTTTAGTGGAATTGCGTAGCTAGTTTGCTGCACCGTTACTGAATTATAATTCTTTTGCAGGCTTTTGATTTAGCCGAGCAAAGGTATGTGGCCATTAAAATCTACCAACTCAACAAAAACTGGAGAGAAGAGAAGAAGGACAACTACCTCAAGTGAGTCTGAAACTGTGATTGGGCCTTGACTCGGTGCTGCAGCATCACTAATGTTTGAGTTCATCTGTGAACATGAAACTGTTTAAAGTCTAAATGTATGACTCTAAATAATGCATTTGTCTTTTCAGACACACCTGTCGGGAGTACAGGATTCACAAAGAGCTCGATCATCCTCGAATAGTCAAACTTTTTGACCATTTTTCAATCGACAGGGACTCGTAAGTTCGTTTACATGAAAGTAATAATTTTGATCTGTGAATTAAAGACTTATCATTGGGCTTGCAACAGTAAATAGACTGAAATGAGGATAGACTAAAACACATTTTTGTCAATAAAAGTAACATTTTCAAACATCTTTACTTAAACTTTCATAAGGAAAGTTAATGTTTTCTGTACAGACATAGAATTAGTCTAATCTGATGTAATATATTTGACAGGTTCTGCACAGTTCTGGAGTACTGTGCAGGCAATGATCTGGATTTCTACTTGAAGCAGAATAAGTCGATGGCGGAAAAGGAGGCTCGCTCCATTGTCATGCAGCTCGTCAACGCGCTCAAGTATCTCAGTCAGATCCGCTCTCCCATCATCCACTATGACCTCAAGCCTGGTACTTTTCCCCCTTGCATTTCTCCATCTTATATACATTAGCATACCAGCTTTATTTATAAATCACTTTAAATAACTGTAGGACTAAAGTGTTGTACAGTTACAGAAAATAAATCAAACGGCAGTTTAGACATTTAGAAACAAACCAAAAATAGACTTATATTACAATTATCGTACTTGCTGCTGTACACGTCACACCACCGTATAAGTCACAACAGTCCAAAAATATCTAATAAAGTGGGGAAAAACTTAAATAAGTCACTTTGCCGTATAAGTCGCATCGATTATGCGTCACTGCTGACCACCTGGAAACGTGGGCTGGTGTGCTAAAAATCGTCTGCCAAATGGCGGCTGCGGGAGCGTGCATGGGAGGACTTTAACAAGAATTTAACTAGATTAACACCTAAAAACAATTGTTTGTTTGCTTGACATTATAGTAAAGGTGTGTCTCAGTTGAACTTTTCCTTAATAAATGCACTTTAATGGTCAAATCAGCTGCATTTCACCTGGGTGGTGCGGCGAAAGGCAGCTGATTTGACGTTTGTTCCAGGTGATCTGGAGCGAGACGAAGGTGGCTTGGTATGGCAAGCCAAGTGTCTCTTTAATAGCCACTTTTATCTATTAATGAGACACTTGGCTTGACATATTACTCGAGGGCCCTCTAGCGGCTGAAAATGATAGTGCTCAATATTTTCCTTCAGAATGAATGAAGTCGTCAAATCTCTGCTAAAAATTGGGTTATAAGTACGGGGAACAAACGTATATTAGTCGCTTTGGTGTATAAGTTGCAGGACTTGCAAATTTATGCAAAAAGGGTGCAACTTATACGGCGAAAAATACGGTACATTAGTAAAACTGTTCATTTTTCTTCATGTTTTGATCTCAGGAAACATCCTGCTGGCTAACGGGAACGCATGTGGTGAGATAAAACTCACTGACTTCGGCTCGTCTAAGCTCTTGGATGACGACAGCTTCCACTCTGCAGATGGGATGGAGCTGAACTCGCAGGGAGCAGGAACTTACTGGTACACACACATCTTGAATTCTAACTTTTTTAGGAGAAACGTGTTTAATAGACTCTAGGAGCTACAGTAGCTTTGTGGTCAGTGTCTTGTATTCCTGCGGTTGCGGGTTTGAGCCCAGGTTTGTGTCAGGAAGGGCATCTGGCGTAAAACAATTCCTAAATTGCATGCTAGTTTGCTCGCTGTGGCGACCCCTGAAGAAGGGAGCAGCCAAAAGAAAAATACTGTTGAATAGAATCTTTTTCTCTGCATGTTGAGAACACACTTAAAAACCTATTTTCTACATTGTGTCTTACAGGTATTTACCACCTGAGTGCTATATAGTAGGGAAAGACCCCCTGAAAATATCCAGTAAAATAGATGTTTGGTCTGTGGGGGTCATATTTTACCAGTGCTTATTTGGGCGCAAGGTAACTACTCATCTGCATTACGTGACACTGATGATTAGAAATTTATTTTTTTGAAAGAGATTAACTTTCTGCTATTTTCCCTCCAAGCCGTTTGGTCATAATCAGTCACAGCAGGATATCCTCCAAGAAAACACCATATTTAAAGCTACGGAGGTGCAGTTCCCTCCCAAACCTGTCATCACTGCAGGAGCGAAGGTATTCTACTCATTCTTTAAATTGTATTTTAAAGGCAGCCCGTTGATCGTGCTGCTCTCACCATTCCACTGAAAGTGTCACGTTTTCTCCTCACGAAGAGACATTTTTATTACTTGATGAGACAAAAGTCTCAAACACAATCACAGTTAAAGACAAAATATTTAGATATTTCTTGGGGTTGTAATACAGAAGTCTGAGGAATATTCATGTACGATTGAAACATCTCTACCGTTTTGTTTGTTTCCCCTAGGCCTTCATTCGACGTTGCCTAGCTTATCACAAGGAGGACCGTGTGGATGTGTTGCAGTTGGCCAGCGACCCCTTCCTAATGCCTAGTACTCGTAAAGCCCTTGGTAGCAACACAACGTTGGTGCCCCCATGTCCCTCCACCTCCAGCTGCTACAGCAGCAGTGCCTCCAACTCAAGTTAACCTAAGAGTAAACCACCCAAATGTGACGCAACCCACATAAAGACATGCTTGAATCCCCTCGTTTAGCCCACAGGAGGGAAGGATCCCGAACTGGAACCAGACTAGTAACATGGTGTAGAAGTAAGGGTACTCATCAGTGTAATCCAGGTGGGTGAAACAAAGGGTTGTGGGCTGAGCACAATCCAAAGACTTGCCGAGATGCATGCACTAACAAACTTTGGCTCAGTTCAAAGGACCTTTTTCAGATTATGAAAATGAAAATTATTTGCACAATTGATATGCTTCGAAGAATGAAGTGTGGAAACTCCCCTTTCCACCCTAAAGCTGGTTTACAGGAGACAGTGTTGATAAAATATCACATGCTGCTTGAAATGCATCACAGAACTGTATCAGATTAAATGTAAGTTACTGTAACCCTCAAGCTTTTTGGCTGAAAATGGTCAGGAGTGACTGACGTTAATGCCCGTCTTGATGACGCGGCAAAAATAAAGATTCACATGACTTGAAGGAGAACAGCCCGGTTTTGAAAAGACTTGTTGGTTTTAACTAATTGTTGGTTTGTTTAATAACTGGAAGTTAGATTTTTATTTTAATGAAGTGCATATTTTTCCATTAGGTTTACCCTTCTCTAATGTTATTACCTTAAAGGGGGGGTTGACTGGGTGAATGTTACAATGTGACAATGTGAGTGAAACTACAGCTAAAATAATGAGATTATTAAAATTATTTGGTTAATTGTCCGTTATGGGGTTTTATTTTTCCTGGGACTGCACAAAATGTTTTAAAAACGCAAATACACTTATACTGCTACAATAAAGTGATAAATGTTCAATAAAACTAGAGAAATTGCATTTCCTGCAAGAATGCAGTGTGAATGCATAACTTGTTGAAAAACTGCTCAAATTAGCTAAAAACATGCTGAAATGTAGCGGAACTGGAAATTTGCAAAAACCAGCTGAATAGTAGCTAAAAAATCAGAAAGGAAGCATGTTACCAGAAGGAAATGGAGAAGGCACATTTTTTGCTGAATTAGGCTGAAAAAAGTTGAAAAGAGTGCAAAAAATGTGGAATTAGCTGAAAAAGCTAAAATCAGCATAAACAGCAGAAAACGCTGAAACTTGCAGATAAAAGCTGAAAGGATCATAACAAGCTGAAATTACCAGAAAGATGTTAAAGCACAAAAATGCAGTTGGCCGAAAGAATCTGAAAGGAGCACAAAAAGAGCTAAAAAAACCAGCTGAAAGTAGCTGAAAAAATGTTTAAATTTGCTCAAGAAAGCTGAAAGTTGCTGAACTAGAACAAAATGTGAAAGGAGCAGTAAAAGGTTGTGAACAGATCTAAAGATTTGAAGGATGAAAAATGAGCTCAATTTTATGAGAAAAAAAATGGCAGAAAAGACAAAATATTTCAAAAAGCTAAAGTTGCACCAATACAAAAAGTCTTGAAAGAGCTGAACGTTTTGATCCATGAATTGTTGAACTAGCACAAAATTGTGGAACGAGATGCTGAAAAACGTACAAAACGTATAGAAATAGCCAATAATGAATATAAACAGGATCACAATAGTGTAAGCATTCACACATATTTAATCTCAACATGAGTTTCACCATTAAAGGTTTCTATAACATTATGCTGCTGTATACGATGAGCACACTGCTACAGTTTGCAGGATGTGTAGTGGGCAAAGATTAAAAAAATTAATGACCATAAGCTCCTAATCAAACATTTGTCACAGGATATCACCAAGATGCAGTAAAACACAAAACCTGGTACCTTTTAAAACTTGAAATAAATCTGAGCTGTCTGACTTCTCTTTGGATGAAGCGTGTCATTTATTCAGTGCCACAGTTTCAGAAAATACAATTATTAATCTGAAGCAGATTACCACAAAAAGAACACATTCTGCTTGCAGAGGGGCTTCAATACAGTCCACGCTACTTTCAATCCCCACCATGAAGCAAAAAAAAACTTAAGAGAAACATTATACTGACATAGATGCAATATAGTAAAAACAGTTCAAGAATCGTATGAAATCTATCAAGTGCACATGACTGACGTTAATAAATCCAGGGGGGTTTATCTGTTGTAGAACTGTGAGGTAACCCAGGCCAGTCCCCACTTCAGATTGGTGAGCATAAACTTGAGCGCCTTGGTCCACTGCTCCTCGGAGTTAAACTGGGTTTTTATCGAGTAGGAACCGCCGCTGCCGCCTGTATCTTCAATCTTCCCTTTCTCCACATCCATCCTGATGCAGAAAAAGAGAAATCGTCTGTAATGATCACATCAGGATAAAAACAAGCACAAATGCCCATCACTTTTGCCATAAGAGTGGGAATGCAGCTTAACGTTTACAGCTTGGTCCTGCAGAGCACAAGTCTACGGGTGTCTGACCTGTACGGGAGGCAGAAGCCAGTGTCTCCTTTTTCCACCTCCTCTTTGAACTGCTGCACACAATCCAGGAAGGCCACCATGGCGTGATCAAACTTGTTATCCCAGAAGAACCTCAAGCCACCTGAGCAATACAGAGGAAGTTCCTGAACACAAAAAGACGAGAAAAAGAAGGTGTTTCACTTTAGTGACAAATGTTTACAGGTGAGCGTCTTGATGAGTTACATCAAAGTTCATGCTCAATAATCCAGGTAAAAAATAAAATCCAACAAGGTTCAGTCAGGTCCTCTGGATGGTTTCTTTTTGATGAGACGTTTCGTCCATCAATCCGAGGAGCCACAACAAACTCAGTCCCACAAGCGGCACACTCCTGTAGTGGACCAACCAGTTTGCTGGTGATAAGATGGTTCCTGGGGCCCGCCCTCTCCCCCCGTCGACTCCTCTGAGGCAGCCATAGCCAAAGTGGTTTAAAACATCAAAGTTCATGCTCAATAATCCAGGTAGAAAAAAATCCAACAAAGTTTGGTCAGGTCATCTGCAGTTTCTTTTGATTTTTACTTTCTATTAAGTCCTTTGGATGAAGGACAAAAAAAAAAGAAAACGTCCAGATGACCTGACTGAAATTTGTTGGATTTTTTTACCTGGATTATTGAGCATGAACTTTGATGTTTTGAACCACTTTGGCTACGACTGCCTCAGAGGAGTCGACGGGGGAAAGGGCGGGCCCCAGAAACCATCTTATCACCAGCAAACTGGTTGACCCACTGTGGGAGTGTACTGCTTGTTGGACTGAGTTTGTTGTGGCTCCTTGGACTGATGAAGTCCTTTTGGATGAAGGATGAAATGTCTCAACAACAAAACAAAAAAAAGAAAACCGTCCAGATGACCTGACTGGATGATTTACCTTTGACTTGTCTGTCAGCGACTCCAAGTAGGAGTGGTTTCCGTATGGGACAAGACGGTATCTGAAGACGTGAGGGAAATATTTCAGTGAACGTGATGCATAAATATACATTTACTGAATTGAAGCTAAATAAATCCCACCTACCTCTGAAATCGCAGCCCCATTTTATTAGCTAGGGCGTGAAGCAGCAGCACCGTCTGCCCCCAGGCTGCGTTGATCTCGTTCCACTCCACAGGGACGCTGGGAAGGCGACCCAGACGGAAGTTGTTGATGGTACCAAACTGACCGCTGTGCCTAGGAGAAAAAAACAAACAAACAAAAAACAGCTTTAATATTTTTCCTTCCCCAGTAGTTTTATTTTATTTTTTTCTGCTCAGGTGTACCAGATGTGAAACGTTGCATTGAAAACATTGGTTTTCTTCAGTCGATCCAGCTGAATCTGGCAGTAGCGCATCTGGTTGTCGACGCTCTTCAGCTCATCATCCAGCTCCAGCTGCTGCCGTTTGAACTCGCTGTACTCCTTTTGGTACCTTAGAGCAGTGAGAGCAAGCCCAGCTGTTACGTGTTGCATTATTTACTAAATGGATCGTGGACACACGTCACTGCCTGGGTGACTCACTGTAGCTCCTCTTTGTCCAGCTGCTGAGACTGGATCCTGGTCTGGGACAGGTCCTGGGCCACCGCGGCCCTCTGTTCCTCCACAGCCTCCAGCTCTTTGACCAGGGTCTCCTCCTCGTCTTTCAGCTGCTGGAGCTCCTTCAGCAGAGTCTCCTCTTCCTCCACTTGTAGGGTGGACAGCAGCTCCAGACACTGCCTAAAAATAAATAAAATAAATAAATCAGCACTTTTAAGAGTTAACGCGACAAGTCAAACACCGTTTTGGGTCGCACTTGTAATTCTGACACTCGTTCTCCGTAATGTTGAGCTGCGTGTCCAGGTGATCCAGCAGAGTGTCCGTGCATTCCTCACACAGAGGATGATCCACGTCCGTTTGACCGGACATGATGTCGAACAGGTCGCCCGTTACCTGCGGGGGCGAGAGGCAACAACAGGGTCACTTGTTTTCATGTCAGGAAACACGGACAAGGTGCTCATAAAGTGTTTTAATTCAAATCTCACTGCTGTTCTTGTCTGAATGAAACTGAAAAGAAACAAACTAGAGCGACAGAATGTTCTGTGATAAAGCTGTGAATACAGAAGAAGCCAAAACTGAGATGTTTCAACAGAATGAAGCAGAAAATGAGCTAAAATTAAGAGCATAATGCTAGCTAAAAATAAAACGCTAGCAAAGGTTAGCTTAAAGCAACAGAACACTTTGTAAAAAGACATAACTAGAAAAATAAATAAAAAACCTAGCAAAAGATAAAATGTAAATATTAGCTAGAAGATAAACGTATCAAAGGCTAGTTAAAACTTGTTACTTTAAACATTTTTAGGGCTAGCTAAAAGTGGCACAAGACAAAAATGGAACAAATCTGCACCAATCTACTGACTGAGCTGAACATTTGATATATGAATGGATAAAACACGTCATCCTACAAAGTATTCATTAGTAATTAAACCCCAAAAACTTAAAACGACAGGAAAACGAATGTGTAACGCCGAGTCAGCAGATATCACCTTCAGTCTACGACTAAGGTTTTCCATGGTGCCACCGTCAGATGCGTCTCCGATCAGAGTGAAACTGTTGGCGCTCTCTGTGGACATCATCCTAAAAAGGAAAAACGAATAAGTTATTTTAGCAGAATTCAGTCCTCTTTAGGCCTGTCACGATAAAAAATTTTGCTGGGCGATTAATTGTCTCAGAAATTATTGCGATGAACGATAATATTGTTTGAAATTTTACAATAAATAGTAACTGTCAAATTTAAGAAATGTTGGTTAATTTTTGTATGCAGTACCTTCTTATGACCACTGGCTGGCAGTATAAGACTGTTTGAACCGAAGGATGGCTAGTGAGGGAGCGAGCAACGTGAAGCTTTAAGAAAAATGGGAGGGAGGCCCCTTGACGTGACATGGGCTGTGTCTCGTTGTTTTTCGGTTCTCAAAATGACAGACACTCGGTGTGGTTTGAGCACTTTGGCATAGCATTTTTCACACAAATCTTTTAATTAATAATAAAAATAAATAAAAAAATCAGTAAACAAGTTCTCAGCATCTTTTTGCAGAGGAAAAACAACTTTTTAGATGAAGGCACGGTGTTTCAACCGTGAATTTTGGAGCTTTGACAAGACGGAGGTTTTTATCTCGAAGTCGGCCTGTTAGCTTAGCGGCTTTTAACGATCTAAAAACTTAATTTTGGACGGTTAAAAGAGATTTTAAAGAGAAAGGGAGGGGTCAGTGAAGAGCGCCTGAGTTGAGCCGTGTCTTAAGTAGAAAGAGAAACATGAAAAACGATAAAGCAGCTAAATGAAAATGAGGTCGATAATTTTCACTTATCATGCGATTAATTGATTTATTGTTTTTTGTGACAGGCCTAGTAATCTTTGCAGAAAAAGAATTAGTAGGGATGCACGATATTGGATTTTTGGCCGATATCCGATATGCCAGTATGTTAAAACAAATTTGGCCGATAACCAATACCAATACTTTTTCCTAGATCTACTTACAGAGACTACATAGTTTTCTGTGCGGTGGAATTAAAATACTACATTATTCTGAATGGTCTTTGTCAGTTTGGCCTGATACCAAATGCAGATGCCAAAAAGGGGACTGAAAATGATGTAACACTTTAACTTGGATTATGTTTAATGTCAAATTTATTCATGACATTTACTCTCTCTAACACAATGACAACAATCAGTCATACAAAAACAGTGCCTCATGTACAAACCGGATTCCAAAAAAGTTGGGACACTAAACAAATTGTGAATAAAAACTGAATGCAATGATGTGGAG